GGATGGCCAATCCTTCTTCCTAGTCTGTCTTAATGTGAATGTTCAGATTTAGAGAAGTATCAGACAGACCAGCATGTTAAAGGTATATCCCTTATTGCGGCATTAACTTTAGTGTCAGTGTTGTCCCTGCCTTTCTCACACGCGTCTTTAACCCCTTATTTCCCTGCTCCACCATCCACCAGGATACCCATCCACTTCTACCCCCTCCCTTCACATCTATCTCCCTTTGACCAGCCCTCCATCTAATAACTTATATATGAGGCTTCCATGGCTTCTGTGATTCCAAACACATCAGCTGATGGTAGTTCCTTATGTTGGGATCAGTGTCTCTGAAGTTTAGTCGTAATGTTTCCCGAGTAAAGGTGATGCATCCTGTAGAACCGGTGTGTAGATAGGCTTTTCTTGGAGCGAGGGCCACAATGAATGTCGTGCGGTTTTTTGCGTCTTCGATTACCTGGGGAGATGGGAGGTGTCTGAGGCTGGCCTCTAAGCAGCCCTGCCTAACCCCTTCTCTGAGCGGCCTGCCTGAACGAATGTATCTGGTAATGACTGTATTGGACTTGCACAATTGAAGCATCTAACCACAGCATCCAGTAGGTGGCTTTCACACCAGCTGTGTTCAGTTACTATTGATGAAGTAATAGAGTTGAGTATCAAATACAAACCTTCATGGACCAGGAAGAAAGACACATAGTTACACTGATTACTTTGTTTCTCCAGGCTGGATCTCCAGAACTGTTCTTTGAAGGATCCTGGTCCAAACTTTCCTCAGGCAAACACTGCTATTGTCATGTGAGTAGTCAGGTATCCTCTCTTCCAAAAAAGTAAATATGGTAAAAGGTTGATGGGAAAGTCTTTGAGAATGGACTCCAAAAAGATGAACAGTAAAAACCAAAAAAACAAAAAGATGAGTATTAATGTTTACATTTACTCTAGATGAGGCTGGTTTGCCGGTCTAGAAAGATAAATTAATACAGAGAGAGTGTTTTCCTGAGAACTCTAATAGTGTGTGCTTTGCAGAGACCTGCAAGCAAACCTCCTCAAAGATGACTTGGTTAATACATTCCGTGGCTTCACCCAGCTCCAGACTCTGTAAGTAAAGACTGAGAGTCAAGAATGAGACGGTTAGTATTGTGGGTCATTAACTTTGAAATGACTATACATTATGACTTTAGGGTACTGCCACAAGATGTCAACTGTCCTGGAGGTATTAGCACCTGGAATACAATCACCACATACATAAATAACCAAACCTGCCAAGGTCAAAGGAACCTTTGCAATAGCACTGGAGATGCAGGTATGCTGTCTCATCCTTACCCTTCTGGGAACTGCCTGTTCTCCCTTATTCTCCCTTTTAGATCGGAAAAAGAGTAAATTTACTTAGATGTCTTTTGTCGAGAGTTTCAAAGCTCTAATCTCTCAGGGAGAGTCTTGGAATCTATTGTAATTTGAGGGAAGCTGAATATCAAATTTAATAATAGACCAAATGCTGTATCGGGAAATGAGGGAAGATTAATACAAGCTGAAGGTCACCTTGTGGCACTGGGGCGTTCCCTAGGAGTCAACATTGTTGTTATTGTTGTTGTTATGTGCCGTCTAGTTGTTTGTGACTCATAGCGACCCTATGTACAACAGCCCTAAACCGTGCTCTATCCTGTGCCAATCTCATTGCCTCTGACACACCCATCCCGATTAC